ACTTTTTTTGGCATTGTTTTTGTCCAGAAGCGACAATGGCAGCAGATGCAAGCAAACCAAACCAGCGCAGTTTCTCCGTTCTTTTAGTTGATCACAATGAGCAAATCAAACAGGAAAAACATGTTAAAAAGTGTAATGACTTATAAAAACAACTGGGGCTCGAACCCAAAAATGTGCGTCCGTGCAGTATGGTTGAGCCCATTTACGAGGCATTCATCCAGCTGCGCCAAAGCTCTCTATGAATCCATCTTGGCTATGCTGTTGAGATCATCATTTTTACATGCATCTTTGATACCTGTCACAGGTGGCGCACGGCCCACCTCTCGATTTTGAAAACGCCTCGATTTCAACCTTTATGAAATTGACTGTACACGTTCGAGAAGACCTTAGAGCTAATAAAAATTCAAGATTTTTTTTTTTTTTTTTTTTTAAAGTGCACAGGCGCTGTATTGCATAAGACACTAACTAAACATGTTACAACTGCAAGGACTAATTAGCCTAAGAGAAGGACGGCCATCTAGTCGAGTGAAGAAGATTTTTGCCTGTAGATAGTGTTTTGTTTACTACTTTTTTTTTTTCGTCTTTTTTTTTTTTAAATTCATCTTTATGCTTTTAGCACACCCGAAGGAAGCGATGAACCTCTATAAAAACCTTTGTGCAATGCACGCCCGCTAGGAATTCAGTTTAAGTATAGAGTCATATAGTCTCAGACTTCTTGTGGGTACCTCCACAGAGCTGAGCAGATGTTTGATACCCCCTATCCTAGCGTCAACCGGAGTCACGGGGGAGAAGGGGAGTTGCCAAAGCATGGAGTACAGTGACAGTCGTACCGAGTTTCTGGATTTATCCGTGCAAGTTTGTGTGTGAGCTATGAAAGGGAAGGATTACTTGTGGCGGCCACAGCGCTGAGCAGGTGTTTGAGATCCCCTCCTCAACCCCCTATCCTAGCGTCAACCGGAGTCACGGGGGAGAAGAGGAGTTGCGTGAGCGTGGAATCCAGTGACAGCCGTACCGAGATTCTTGCGTTTACCGGTTGAGTTTTAAGGTCCTTTTTTTTTGGGGGGGGGATATTGCCTCGCGTGTTACCACGAACAAACCCTTTTGGGGATTGAGCAATTCCATGCTAGTAGCTTGATGCTTCTTAGAACTTTGTGTTCTGAAAATGACGAATATTGTTGAGGAAGTACCATAAACACTATCTTCGGTTACTATCTCCTTCGACTCGCGGCTGTTTCCCTTGGTCTGAGTCCTGTATGTAGGAGTGAAAATGTGTGAAACGTTTAGTCTTTAGAATGAAATTTGCTAGGATAGGAAATGCCTTAGGTGTGTCGAGAAGTTTTATGGAGCTGTTCCAGTCGACTTTGATCTTTTCTTCTCGTAGTTTGGTTCGCATCTGTTTTCGTAATTTGGAGAAACGTCTACAGTATAAAAGAAAATGGTGAGTATTTTCCTCTATGCCACAGGTGTCACAGAGTGAGTTGGAGGTTAGTTTTCTTTTGTGGAGGTGGGCATTGAGTGGGCTAAAGCCTGCCCTGAGTTGAAAGATGGCTGCTGTGCTTCCTTTTTCAAGGCTTGCTAGGCTTTCCGCGACTATTTTTGGTTTCGTTTTATACTCTTTGTTACCTGGTTTGAAAGGGTAGTCTTTGACATTAAAGGTTTCTTTTGTTCGTTTTTTGAGGCTGCCTAAACTGGTTGGTAGGTCCATAGGGTTGATCTGTTCATCAGCTGTCTTTCCCGCCAGTTCGTCCGCTAGTTCGTTGAGTTCAACACCTTGGTGGCCTGGGGTCCAGTAAAATCGGATTTCCATGTTTTCCGGTAGGCGTTTTAGTGTCGTGCGTATTTGTATCTGAAGGTGTTGACCTGAGGTTGGTTTTGGCGTATCACTTTCTAGACTTATTGCACCTCGGTTGTCACTGAATATGGCCAGGTTTCTCGGGCGTGTTCGTTGGGGCTTGCAGGCTTTGATTGCTAATTCAGCTGCTAGGAGGATCCCTAATAATTCAGCCTCATGGTTTGAAAAATTGTTAGCGTAATTTACGGCTTGGGCGCTGCTGATATCTACAGATACAGCTGCCGCTCCAGCACCCTCTTGTTTAACCGACCCATCTGTGAAGATAACAAGTGCTTTCCGATTTTGTTCTTCTTCCTCGATTTGTCGAGGGATAATTTTTGTAGCTTCCTCTTTAATCAGTTCCATGTTGAAAACTTCCCCTATTTGTCCTACCCAAGGTGCGATCGGGTGGGGGAAGATAGTTTCCGTGTTTTCGACGGTTAGTGGCTTGACTGATTGAAACTTCAGAATGTTCTGTACCGGGCCTAAGTGGGTTTTGGGAAGGAAATTTAATTCGTGGGCGATGAAGGTCCTTGACGGGTGATGGGGTGGGGCTGTCAACCGCTTAAGGATGAAGTTGTGGTGTCTTTTTGCTGCTGTCCAGGTAAAAGGTACTTGGTAACAATCGTGATTGATCATCTCTGTTGAAGTGCCTCTGAAAGCTCCAATTGCTATGCGGTTGGCGCTGTTCTGGATTGATTCGAGTATCTTAGTTGCTTTACTGCTAGTTTTTTGGGTCAGCCATGCTATACTACCATACAGTACCTTGGGGATTAGGACGGATTTGATTAGCATAATTATTTCTTTTGTGGCCAAACCGGAGTAACATTTGTTTAACCTCCTCAGTTGGTGTAGAGTGAATTCACCATTCTTCTTGACATGGTTTAGATGACTGTTGAAGGATAGTTTTGGGTCGAGCCAAAGGCCTAGCCACTTTACCTCCTTTTTTGGTTGGATCCTGATGTTTCCAAACTGGAATGAGGGAAGAGCTGGGTTACGTTTGTTAGTGAAATGAATCAGTTGGGCTTTTTTCTTATCGAAGATTGCGCCGTGTCTTGTCGCCCACTCCAGTGAGCTATCAGCATAACTTTTTAGGAGGGTCATATTGTTCTCTAGATCTTTGGAGGCCACCAGGTATATTACGTCGTCGATGAAGCCTATAGAAATGCTGTCTTTGGTTGGCGATGAGGGTGTTTTCCCGAGGAGTTCTGAGTTGTAGATTATGTATAGGATAACCAAGAGGGGTGATCCTTGGGGGAGGCCATCTTCAATTTGGAAATCTTCCGAGAGGTAGTCTTGTATACGTAAGTTAGTGGACCTGTCAGTTAGAAAGCCTTTGACTACTTGAAGTAAATAAGGTGGGCAGTTGTGTTTGTGAAGTATGTGTTCCAATCGTTTGCTGTGTACTGATGGGTATGCTGATTTGACATCTAAGAGGAGTGCTGATACG